TCCCACACACTGGGATTATAGGTGCATGCCACCACCCCCAGTCTCAATCACCCTCTCAGTGCACCCTGGGGGCAGGGCGGGCAAGGCAGGCCAGGATCAAACTTCGGTCCTCAGCACCAAAAAGAAAAACAAAAAATTACAAGACTTTGTTTTGGTACAGGGGACCAAACTCAGGACCCTGCACCTGCCACACAGGTGCTTATGCCACTGAGCTCTCTCTCTGGCCTAAAAGTTACAAACTTCTAAACTGAAAGTGATGCCATAAGGAAAATGAAAATACAGAATGGGAGAAAATATTTGTAATTTATATATGTGATGAAATAAATTTAGAATACGTAAAAGCTAGGTATACTATAAAAACTGGTATTCTAAAAACTATAGAATACTCTTATAACTAGGTAATAAGGAGACCAACTGCTCAGCTGAAAAATGGGCAGAAGGTCCTGAACTGACATTTTACTGAAGAAGATACACAAGTTGCCAATACACATATGAAAAGATTTTTGATGTCAATCACCATCAAGGACACGCAAAGAAAAACCACAACACAATTCTGCCACGTACACACAACCAAATAGACAGCTAATTCTAAGTGTTGACAAGGGCAGGGAGAAGTGGAACCTCTAATGCTGCTGGTGGGACTATAAAACGGGTACAGCAGCCTCCGAGTGCGGGGATCACAGGCATGCACCACCCTGGCTTCACAACTGCTTTTGAGCGCCCACGTGCAGAAAGATGGGGAAGGCACTCTCTGTAAAGACTTGAACAGTGGTGTCTGGTCATTCTGAAAGGAATTCAATTGGAAAAAGCCATTAAATATAGATTGCCTATGGTTTTGGGGGTGAGGGTCTGACCAGAAGGCAAATACTCAGGGCCTCTTTAGGAGCCCCCAAATCACACTGAATCAGGACAAATGCTAAATAAAGGAGCAGCTTATACCATAGGACCATCAAGAATCAACTTCCCAGGCAAAAAAGAAAGAAGAAAATGGCACAGGTAAGAGGAGTCACTGACACAAACCCTTGGCTGAGGTCACAGGACTGTGGACAGCAAAGAGTTCCTGATTGTGCAAACCATGCAGACCAGGGGCAGACTTCGCAGGACCGTGAAGAACCCTATGAGCCCGCACTGCAGTGTGCCAAAGCCATTTATAGAGAGAGGCCTATGTACAGGTGGCAAATGCACCCAAAAAGGCTCCACATTAACCTCACTCTGAACAATGACAGCTGCTAGAGTCCAAGTGGCAGTGTCCTGTGGCCCCGCAAGGGAAGGCTAGGTCAGACATCTGCTGGAACCAAGTCCTGTGCTGCACTGTGCTCTCTCCATTCAGCTCTGCAGGACCAGCCCAGGGGAGTTCCAGCAGGTGAGACCAAGACAACTCCAAAACATCACAGAGGAGCCAATCCAGTGTCTCTACAGTTGATTTGGGGTGAGTTTAAAGAACTTTACACCAGGAAGTGCACACAGGCATGTATACGTGTGTGTGTGTGTGTGTGTGTGTGTGTGTGTGCGTGAAACACTCCCTGGTCAGTCAGCACCTCTGCAGCATGGAGTAGGAAGGCACTGGCCACCCGGAACAGTGCCTGCCAGCACACCACCCAACAGTTTCAGCTTAGCCCCTGTTTTGGTTGTCAAGACCAAGTGTAGAAGTTTTCTAATCTGTCAGCTTGCCTAGAGAAAATAGATCACACTGACTGGAAACTTCTCAAATAAGCAAGCACTGGCCAATGCAAGTCCTTTCCACTGTCCCCTTCAATCTGCCCAGCTTTAAACAAAAGGGAGCCACATCAAGTCTTGCAGTTAGCCCTGACTCTTCTTCCAAGCCCCAGCAAGCCTGTGGAGACTGCCCTTGCTTAAGGCAGCAGTACTCATCCATCCTCCACTGAGCAAGTGAACGGAGTGCTCAGTGCTCGCTCTCTCTAGGACATGCGGAAAGCTGCAGGTTCGCAGAGAATGAACTCCTCGCCCCTCAACTTGATTTCTGC